GGCTGCAACAGGTGCCTCCCGGAGCAGGAAGCTCGCGCCGCTGCTCAGCTCCCCCGGGCGCGTCCAGCCTCGCTGCGCCAGGCGCGCCATCCCCGGACCCGGCTTGCGTCCCCACGAGGACAGTGACCCCCGCCGCTCCACCTGCTTCTCCGCCCGCTTCCTGCCACCTTGCCACCCCCGGTGAGGGGCCCAAGAGAAAGCCTGCCCTCGCCCCCAGCCGGGCCCGGCACCCTTCCCGCCGCCTTGTGCGCCATGGATGCCCCGGAGCAGCAGCCCGACCCTGACGGCTACGAGCCGGGGGGCAGCCCCCAGGACGAGTTGGACTTCTCCATCCTCTTCAACTATGACTATTTGAATCCTATCGAAGGTCCGTAGAGGCTCCGCCTGGCCTGGCCCCAAGCCTGAACTGGGGCTTGGGCCTGGAGAGGGAGCCCAGGGCCCCTCTGCGCCTCACGTCTTGAGGGCTCCGTGTGGTGGTGGTGGGGGGAGGTGCCTCTCCCCAGGTGAGAGGGAGGGAGCGAGGCGTCAGGTTCTGCCGCTACCCTTAGGGGGCGGTAGGCTCACTCTCGCGTTGTAGGGTGTCAGTTTCCAGGTACTGTGACTTCTCCTGGAGGGTCGCTGGTATCAAGCAAAAGGTGGCAGGGGGCTCAGCTGGCTTCTTGCCTGCTGCTGGGTGGTCACAGGGCAGCGGAAGTGATTTGCTTTGGAGGGAGCCAAAGAATGGAGTTAGTGGGAGTGGGCTGGTGCAGAAAGAGGTTGCACCTGAACCTAATTATCAGAGCAGGTGAAAGCTGATCCCCCTCCTCCCTCTAGGCACCACCGCGGGTGAGTGGCATGTGTTGGGGACTTTGTATTGAAACTAAGGAAGAGGTTGTCTGTGTCTAATGCTGGAGTGTGGTTTGACTTCAGTGTTAAGAGGCCAGCCCATTTCCTCCCTGGGTGGTGCTGCTGCCTCTGCGATTCACCCCAGTGGATGGGTCCGAGCTTTAAGTGATCCCCACCCTACAGGCATAACGGATGTGGGGGCAGAGGGCTGGGGTGGAGGTGGAAGCTGGCATGTGGATTCAGCCAGACCCTGGCTATTCCTGCCTGAAGGACCTGTCAGTCTGTGCCTTCAAGTGTCATCTGCCACTGGGGGCTGGGGACTTCCCCAGGCTGGGCTGTCACTTCACGTGTTTAACAGGAGCCTTCGTCAGAAGGAGCAGGAGGCCACACACCCAACCTCATTGTATTTTTCTGGTTAGCAGGTTGTCTTGGAAAAAAAACAAAAAAACCCAACCAGGCTTCCTGATTTTGACAGCCCAGCCCAGCCAATGCTTGTTGAAGCCTCAGGGGCAGGCCTGCTGGTAACTCCCAGAGGCACTGAGGCTTGGCTGGCTGCGGAGTGCAGGAAGGGGCTGTGCTGGGTGGTTTGTGTAGGCGGCCTGGACCGGGGGTGGGGGGTTAGCTGTTTCCCAGAGCTGCCCTGTTAGGCAGGTGAATGAGAAAGTCTACCTTTCTGTCTATGTGTCTTCACTGGCCACCTTAGGTGTGGGGCTTGCTTTGACCTTGGGGATCCCCTTCACGTGGATACCAAGTGAAGATGATAATTAGTAATTATTCTGTATTTTGGCCAGAGATGGAAATAATTAGCCAGCAAGAGAGACAGTTTTCTTGAGTTGCAATCTGGAGGCCATCCTCTGCTTTGAAAAGAAACGATTACGAATCTGCAGACGATGCCTCCAGCATCAGCGGTCTTTCTGTTCGTTAAGATTAAAGTCATGTTTTGCAGGGCACTAATACTTACACCCCTCCCGGATTCAAAATCGGCTAACTTTTTTTTTTTTTTTTTTTTTTTTTTGGCAGGGGGGTGATTTCCGGGGAAATAGTTTCCAAGCCAAATCTGATGGGAGGTGCTTTTTATAGTTTTTCTTGGCAAGTGGTGCTTGGTGGCCGCCAGATGGGTGTCTAAATGACCACAATGAAAGCCCCAGAATCTGTTTTGTTTTTTTTTTTTAAATAAACTTGACTTTTGGAACACTTTTAGTTTTCCAGAAGAGTTGTAAAGATCATACAAAGAGTTCCATATACCTAGTACCCAGTCCCTCACATTCTTATCTGACATTAATGTGTATTAGTATTGCTGTAATTAATGAACCAGTATTGATGCATTATTAGCATCGCAAGTCCATACTTTATGCAAATTCGGAGTGTCCTTGTTTCTTATGAGCTTGACAATTCTGAGGAGCGCTGGTTCGGCATATTGAAGAATGTCCTTCTAATGTTTTTCTCATGGTTAGACAGGGACCGTGGGTTTTGCGGAGGAAGACCACAGAGGTAGAGCGACTATTTCCATCCTGTCCTATCAAGGGTCCCTACCATCAACATCCCTGTTGACGCTGACCTTGATCACCTGGCCGAGGTAGCGTTCGCCAGGTTCTTCCACTGTAAAGTTACACTTTTCCAAACTCCAAACTGTGATCTTTGGAAAGAAGTTACTTTGTGGCACCCCACTTAAGGGGCGGGGAGTTATGCTCTGGAATCTGTCCAATAATGACTGCTTGCTGGGAAGTAGGCAGCACAGAAATGTCACGGCTCAGGAAGGGAAGGGATGCCGTGAGCCTTGGGAGGCTAATGCGAGCTGTTCCAGATGTGGGTGTGGCTCTGGTTTATCCAGATGTTAATAGGAGTCCTTCCCCCACCCCACCCCCCACCTTCTCTGCTTCTGCATAATGGAACTTCTCAAGGGCCAGCACTAGGCCTTATCTTGCTAATTGGGCTTTGCCCCGGTATTGGCGATGCATGTGGGGTGTTCCCCTTAACGCTGGGCATGAGCTTGGCAAAAAAAACAAGGAGGGGCAAGGGCCGCTAATGGGACAGACGTTGTCAGAAGTTGGCGGAGGTGATGGAGATTGCGGGGGAAGTCAGATGCTCGTTTTATGGAAACTTAGCATGTAGCCGACGCTGATTAGCCGATGTCCTATCTCCTCCAACCCTAGCAGGTAGGCACCATCGTCACGCCCATGTTTTGAAGGAGATGCTAAGGCACAGAGAAAAGTGAAGGAATTTCCCCAGGATGTATAGTAGCTGGTCAATAGCAGAACTGCAACATGAACCTGCTCTGGAGCCCACATGCTGACCTATCGTGTGAGGGTCCCTCATTCCCTCACTGGAGGAGAGACACGTGCACAGCATGTTGTAAGGGGCCTGGCACTATGGCAGGCCTGGAATTTAAAACAGTTACCAACAGAGCGATCATTGCCATTTAAACTTCTTTGGACCTCTGTCTACTCAACTGTCAAATGGCTGAAATAGTCGTACTTACTTCATAAGGTTGTTTGCCTCGAATGAGTAACCCACTTAAGTCAATTAACAGTGCGATTTGTTCCTAACATTTCATTAAACCCTTGATTTTGTTAATAGAGGCGCTCAGTTAATGTGAGCCATTCTTCCGTTACTCATTCGACTTGCTGTTGAGCGCCTATCGTGTTAGATCCTGGGGATATAATAGAGAATAAGACCCGGCCCTTGCCCTCACCGAGCTGGAGTCTCTAATTGTTTCCTGTTGTCTAATCGCTTTGACTAATATCTCTAGTAGCATGCTCATGGTCATGGAAATGGTAGGCATCCTCGCCTTGTTCCTGACCCCAGCAAGAGCATCTCTTGCGTTGGCTTTAGGATTGAGGTGCATGTATTTAATTATGTCAGCGAAGTATCCATTCATTCCTATTTCCTTGAGAGTCTTCATTAGGAATGGGAGTTGCATTACATCATAGACTTTTTAGCATCTATGGAAAGATATGATTTTATTCTTCCTAGAGCTATTAATTTGTTGACTTATATTAATAGATTTCCTAATATTGAAACATTCCTGGTATAAACTTTACTTGGCCCTTGTGTATTATTTTCTTGTGGCCAGCGTTGGTTTGATACCATCTTATTTAAGATTTTTTTCGGCAGTATTCATGAGTGATACTTGTCATGTCCTTTTTCTCATGTGCTGTTGGGTTTAAGTGTTTTTTATTTTCTATGCTCCGGAACAATGTATGTCTCGTCAGGACAATTCGGTTTCTGAAGTGGTGATGGAATTCCCCCGTGAAGCCGTCTGGACCCGGCGCCTTTTTTATGGGGTCGTTCTGTGATCACTTTCTCTGTTGTGTCTGTGGGAGTTGGTCTGCCTACACTTTCTTTTTTACTGGGGTCAATTTTGGTAGAGTGTGTCTTTTAAAGAAATTATTTATTTCACCTGTCTAGGTTTTCAAATTTATTTGCCTAGAGGCATGCAGGGTAGAGTCTTAACCTCCCCAGCCCCCCATCTGCCACACTGAGGGAGACAGTAAAGTTCAAGGTAACAGAATGAATGGGGACAGGGCCGTGGGAGGCCTGACCAGGGCTCCTGACCCAGTGGAAGAAAGAGGTGTGCTGACCGTCAGCAGATGGATCAAAAGTTTAATTCCCTTGTGCCTGCTTGTGACTTCAATGAATTCTTACTCCTCTCAGCTGTAACACACTGGGGGACAGGTGGGTACTGGGAACCCCTAGTCACCTCCAGAGGGGCCAGATCTCCTCTGGGCTCTGTCGGGACTGATGTACTCACTAATGGCCTGCCTCAGTGGATCTGGTGCATCCCTCCTTCAATTCCTGGTAAACTAATGCATGTGACACCACCTTTGACATTTCAGAAAGGAAAATGGACTTCTGGTCATTGCTTGTAGAGTCTATTCTGGTGATCCTTAAACTTTTTGGGTCATAGCACTTTGAAAAGCTGATGAAAGCCACAGATCCTGTAGGCACGCACACACTATTGGAGCACACGCACACACACACACCATGCACAAGCGCCTCCCCATCCCACGAGTCCCCCTCTGCCCTCCACGACCTCTTGTACTATTTTACGTGGAGCCGCAGACCCAGCTGTAGCCCGCTCCCTAATGCTGCCTGCACTTTGACTCAGGAACACCTGCTCTCAACCCATTCACAGGGGACCATTAAAACCTCATTCTCTCGGCAAACACTCACTGAACGCTGGTTTTGTGCCAGGCCCTGTGGGAGTATAGAGACGGATTAGATGTGGCCCTGCCCTTGCCTGGCCCCCAGGCCTCTGTGGGACACAGCCTAGTAAACAAATAGCAGCAAACGAGGTGCTAGGATATAGTATCATGGGTTTTTTTTTGGTGCTTACTAAAAATAGAGTTCTACCCTAAGCAAGCAGGTTCACTGACATGTGACATGCTGAGACATTGTCTGTGTCAAGTTAAGGACAGGCCTTAATAAGCCTGCTTTGTGCAAATAGTGTCTCCAGGTGCAGCTGGAAAGGTGCAGTGAGGCCTCGAATTGAGCAGTGGTCTCGTCAGGGAGGCAAAGGAAATGGGGAGAAAGTGGCCTTAA